CTGTTTTAACAAATAGAAGAAACAAGTCTGTATTACAACCAAAATACCTTAAGCAAAATCTGTGTATTTATTTTTGGCATCTTTATATTTTTGCAAGTTATACAATTGAAGTTTCTATTAAATAACTCTGATATGAGGCATATTTTTAAAATAGTGTCAGCAGTGATTTTTTTTAATGTGCAAACAGATGTGCTACTCCACTGCAATTGCTGCATACTCTCAGTATTTTCTTTGTACTATGAAACATCCGTCTGTTTTTCTGTGTTATAAATCTTTCCCCACTGGATTGATTTCTTCCTGGCAATTAAATACCAGACTGAATTCTCGAAACAGAAGATGTCCAGAAAATCATGTTGTTTTTGCCTAATTTAAAAATATTGGCATTTCAATGAATGCTGCTTTTCCACAGACCAGTTCAATACACTACCTATCCTTGGAATGAAATCACAGCCATCTGCTTTATGACATCAGAGCCATTTCAAGGTGTCACCATAAATGTCATTTACTGCTTGGGAAACTGCCAAATCTGTGAGAAAAAACCCTAGTTCTTCGAAAGGGAAAAATACTTTGACAATAATGATTCTCCCAGACTCTGCCTACCAAAAAGTCTGCTCCTTTGTAGAAATACAGGTCATGTTTACAATAAAATCCATTGACCTGAATTCTGATTTGCATGTGGGATCATTTTGACTAAATTACACATCTATAGATACCAAGTATACTTCATGGGGCACTCTGATGAATATGCTTTTAACCCTTAAATAACTGCCATTTTTCAGGCTATCAGAGATGGGCATGAACCTTTCACATGTGTCTTTGCATTCCTTCCATGGTGCCAAACAGGTTGCAGGAACTAGGCCTTAACACAAGACGGAAGCAGGTGTGTGTGTATATATTATATGCATGCAGGCTCCACTGTCTTAAAGTCCTGACCAGGATTCAGTAATCCTAATCAGACATGTCATTAGCATGGACAGGAAACAATTATGCATGTTTGATGTCATAGGCAGTTGCACAGAAATGTGTTTTAGTGTGCTGGTCATTCTGTTGAAAATGACTCGTGTCACTGGTGTTGAATAAGCAAGTACACATCAGCTGAGAGCTCTATCAAACAAGAGAGCTGCAGCCATATTTAAAGCTTTTGCTGGCTGACAAGTATAACCTTTAGCTTTACTGAATATAATTTCCCCCCACAAAACGTTTTTTGTTTTAAAAGAAATCAGCCGTTCCATAACCCTGTGAATATTCTAGGACAGTCACATCAACAGGTACGTCAAACACATCAGTCTGGTGCAGAAGATGTGGAGAAAGGAAACGAATAGGCTCTCTAAATAATAGATACATTTTCAGTTGTTTTTTTCTTCCTTATACAACCCTGGCAAAGTTAATGTATAATTTGGAAACTGAATTATTTATAAGTTGTGAATACATAATAAAATGCACTTCAACCTGAAATATTCTCCACAGGTAAACGTGTATCTCCATGCAATGAAAAGAAATAGGTGCACAGCCTGAAAACACTGAGGTCTTACCTGGAATCTGGATACTTTGTCAAGGTAGCCAGGCTGCTGGTGTACATGTGTCCTCCTACATCGATGTGCACAGGAGCATTGGATTTGGTGAGTTGAGCTGGGAGAGGAATTCCTTGAGCAGCCAGGGGAGAAACTGGGGATCGTGTTAGAGACAGACGGGACATGCTTCTTCCCTCCTGGAAATGGAAGACAAAAAAGAACAGTTTCTCTTAAATATAGCAGCGTGTTACCTTTCTTTCTAGTGTGATCACAGATCTAATCAGATCATTTTTGCATCTGCCTGATCACATATTCAGCTAACAAATTATTGCCACCACTGTAATTAAGTGTATTTGCATCATTTTCTTCAAAGTACCAGAGGGGAAGAGAAAGATGCTTATTAGCAATAAGAAATCAAGAAAATTTTTTTCAAGGTGTCAGCCTCAAGGGGCATAAAACAAACTGCAAAATTCTAATTAAAGGTCGCGGGCTTATGTGTTAGATGTGAAATATCCCCTGACAAACGAATAACCAATTTGTGAATTGGGATTCAGGGGTTTTTGCAAGTTTGTCTCAGTAACGAGACACCTCTAAATTAGTGACTTCCTCAGTACCTAAGGCATTTAGTTTATACATGTAGTAAATTTCACATCAAACTAAGAACAATTTTAGGTTTTATTTTTAATAATTGTGAAATAACTAGATAACTTTTGGTTAAATCTTAATATTAGATATAAAAAAGAAGTAATAAGCTCTCAAACTGAAGGTAATTAATGCCCAGAAGCTCTTAAGGCAGAAAGATACATAAAATGACCAGTGTTTCATGACAGAAAGCTTTCATGGCTACTATATAATGTCATGTGAAATTAGAAATATACATACACACAAACACGCGCGCGCACACACGTATATATAATAATCATGTGTATGTTTATCACAAGAAAAAAAATTGAAATTAACCAAATTGCAGCCACAGACTTGTAGCTGATTTACAAATCCATGTATTGAATTTCTGTTTCTCCTAAATTAAAATAACATTATTTTTGTAAAAAAGACCTGAGATGGGGAATAGACTTATGAAAGCAAAAAAACAATCCAACCATCTCTCTAATAGTATAAGAAAAAGATAATGACTGATTCTTTATTAGGTACTAATATGCGTCTCATACAGCTGATTTAAGTTAAACAAATCATTATACATAACGTATATCACATGGAAAAATTGTTCAAGCTTTTGCAGGTTTTAGCATATGCCCATTCTTTCTGTCCCTTATGCGGAGAGCAACATATGTAAAACATTATAGTTAGAGACATTTTTAAATATAATCTAATTTTCCTGGTATTTTGTTTTGCAATCAGGCTACCAAACATCTAGGCTCTTCCCAACATCTGATAGGCACTTTATATACTGTATTATAAAGTGAATTTCCATTTTTCAAAGATTGACTTGACCATGTTTCTTAAAATTCCAAAACTGGTCTCACTTTTTAACAATAAATATTCTGCATACTATACGTGTTCAAATCATCCAATGAACTCAGTATTCACAAGAGTCTTTAAAAATATATATTACTTCTGACCTACATGGAGAGGGATTCAAAATATAATTAATCTGGACATCTTCATACAGGCACCACAACATCTTATCTTCTACATTTCATCTAGATTAGCTCTTAAGTATTTTCTACAGCTAAAGTTCAGAAATACATCACCCCATTATGAATCCACATCCTTTTTTCTTCAAATGCAGAATGGACATCTGCACTGAACACCGAACAAAACATCAACACTGTCCTGGAACTTCTGTGTCAGTCGACGTGAAATTGGCATTAACATTTCTACTATAGCACCACCTTCAAGGAAAGTGATTGAATCCTTTTAACAACTGAAGATGTTTCTTCCTACAAAGTCCTGGTGTAGGCATTCTTAGGAAATGTGTCATATATCCCAAATAAAAGAACTTTTTAAAACCATTTAACATCTAAACCACCACAGTCTTTTAGCATTTAGCTTTACATATGTGGATGCTATATCCGTCTACCAACACAGAGATTTTTTTCCCTACCAAAGAGCATTGTAAACTCATGAGCATTCTGCACTTAAATGTAAGGGTCAGTAGCTACGTTCTAAATGTCAACTTTGCCTTTGTTCTGACCCTAACTATTATCACTAATGATAAAGGTACAGACCTTGCAGGATACAGAGCTGCCTGTATATGGAAATACATCTCATGTAGATGTACATAAAAAATATGCCTAATTAGGGCTTACCCACACCCCTTGATACAATTTCTAAATGAAATCAAAGGACTTGCAGTACTCTTTAAACAAGTCTTATATTTAACTGTTTGTCTGGAAATACAGACGTACATTTTAAAATATGCACAGATAGCTAAAGATCAAGTGATCTGAGTCCATTTGTGCATATTTAAACGCTGCTGCTATCTTATGATTTTGTTTAATGTTAGTATACCAGCAAATTCCTTGATCTGCAAACTGTCTGAGACTCTTACTGAGGCCATACCCATACAGTAGAGATATTTAATTTATACTATTCACTGGAGGGACCTTTTGAACAATCCTCTGCTTTTGGCATCTCCCAGCTAGAGTGTGTGTTGAAAAACCGCTTAATTATAGAAAATCACCAGCAAACTGAAATAGTTTTCAAACTTATATGGATTTTCATACTTACTGAGGGTGTGCAGGGGGAAGGGCAGATGAACTAAAATGCAGGTTTATTGTTTAGTTACTGAAGATTAGTATTTAAAAAATGACCCAAAATGTTGATGAAAGCTCTGGAAGCCAGTCATATTTATGTTAATCAAAAGGGCATAATGCTGAAACACTACATAAGTCAGGTAAGGACTTCCATTCATCTTAAATATAAATATTCCAAATTCTTTAGGCTACCTTAACCCTAAGTTTACTGACTGCCTTCTTCAGCTTCTTCTCTCATGTAAACTGACCTAAAATTCACTGCCTCAAGTAATGTATTTCTTCTATGCACAAAGCTAAAATCCTAAAAGTATTTATCCTGTGAAAGCCTTTGTGCATGTGTTTTCTAATACTGATGTGAAATTAAAACCTTTAGGGTAAATATTGCAGAAACACTAACAAACTTCATTTATTAAACCATGTAAAATAATCCCTACTCTTCAGCTGTCTACAAGAGGGTATAACATCACTACCAGTGGCACAAGCAATAACCCTGTTCTCATAAGTAACACAGGAGCCTGCTAAAGGCAAAATCAATAGAGCCTGATTCCCAAATTATCTGAATATTTGGTTTTTCAAACATTGCACACCAAGATCTTTCCCAGCCAGCTCATCTTTTCCTGCCTTTCTAAGCTAACTGCATAAGTACTGCTTGTAAAAACTATTTGCCCATGCAAAGTGAAATAATCACAATGCCATGCTCATTTACACACAAAATGATTTTGTGTCCCATTGTGTTCACAGTTGTTCAGCTCTCTAGGGGTGATTAAACTAGCTCTGCTGCTACAGCTTGAGATGATTTCACTGAATCGTTTCTCCATGAAGTTGCTTCTTTGCTAAGCTGTTATTTTAACCATAAAAGGTAAACAGAAGGCAGTTGTAAGAGCTCCATTCAGCTCCATGCCCAAGGCTATAACCCTAGGGCAGAGAATGCTGAAAGACTGCAGAATTTTCCAGGGTGTTGCCTTTCTTGCTCTAAAGCCTTTAGGAATACTGTTCATTTAATACACACTCTAGATGATACATTTCAGATCCTACTAAAAGAAAGACTTCAAAAGTGTAAGAACTTTTGGGCGGATGAAGCTTTCCCACCTCTGCACATAGCTTGGGGCCATGGTAACCAATACTGCTGTTGATGTTGGGAAAATACAGTAGAAATAAACTGCACAAAGCCAGGCAGACAGATAGGGACAGGGGAGGTGAAAGGTTGCAGAAAAGAAACAACAGTCTGGAAGGGATAACAAGAAAAAAAGGGAAAGAATGAAAAAGAAAGCAGCTCTGAAGGAGGGACAAAGTTAAATCAAGGAACAGACACTTAAAAGACTACAGATGGGAAGCAGGGCTAATTAAGGATGTAAAAGCGCTTTGTTTCTAAAGTTTATTGTTGCCAGGATAAAAATTAATTGAAACTAATGCTGTTATTCACTTGTGCAGTTTAATTCCTTCATGCACATTTAAGACATGAAATGAAAACTGCAGGTTTAAGGACCTGCCATGAAACAGCTCTCTAAGATGTTGAAAGGGGGCATCTTTCCACCCGCATGCAGTCAGCTAGCTGCGTGTATCAAAGGCACAAGTCCAGTCTGCTGCAGGACCACTGGCTCGTCTTTAATGAGATCAGCACCAACATCTGTTCCCTGACTGGTTCCTTTATTGGATTCTCGTTGAAGCTTTTCCTCCCCCCCACCCCCCCACCCCACCCCAGAGACCTTGATTTCTTTAACAGCAGATCTATTACCGCACTAAGAGTAAAAGCCCCGGTCTCAGCCCCCGACCCCCCCAGCTCAAGCCCTTTTGGAGAATAACCAGCTAAAGAACTTAACCTTGCCTTCTCGTGGCTTCATGGCACTGCCTCTTATTTCCAGGGCGCTTGGGTTCAGCCCAGCCAGAGGGTCAGCATGTCAGAGACGTGGCAATTACCTTTGTCTCTGTACACACGTACAAATAACACCCAGCCTCTCTCTCTCAAGCGACTTGGAGGCGAGTGTGGAGTTGGGGAGCCCAGCCTGAGACAAAGAAGCGATCAGGTTATTGGAAACCCTCGGCCAATGGCTTACAAAGATCAAGCGCACGCTCACACCTTGGCGCTGCCGCACACACCGCGGGCCCCTGGCTAGGAGGGGGCTCCGCTCGGAAACTTTTGGTGAGCTTGTGCAGCTCTGGCTTTGGGGGGGCGGGGGAACAAAAAAAAAAGGGACTAGAAATCTCCTTCCCTCCCCCGCTCCTGGCACTCCCCAGGGCGAGCTGCACGTCGCCCGCAAGCCTGTCCCCGCGGGTGGGCAGCGCGGGGCGCGGCCCTCGGGGCTGTCCGTCCGCGCAGCCCTGCCCCAAGGGACCACTCAGCCCCCAAAAAAGCACAACATGGCGCCTCGGCTCAGTCTGGCGGAGCGGAGCGAGCAGGAGATGCCTCCGACGGATGCGAAGCAGAGAGCCCGAGCCCGGGCCGCGGAGCCGCCAATGGCTCCTCGCACGCGAGTCTCCGGGAGTTGCACGGCCCCTCGCACCCCCGTCGCCGCCTGCTGCCGCCCCCCTTTGTGCTCCCACCAAAAGTCTCCACTCCCCCCCCCGGCGAACGGGGGGCAGCCGGCAGCCCCGTCCCTCCCTCCCCTGCCGGAGCAGCCCTCTCGCGGAGCGCAATCGCTGCCAGTGCTCCGTGTGTACCATTCAAAAGCCCGCGGCCCCCCGAGCGCT